CCCCCCCCGTCCGAGATAAAAAAAAAAACGCCGACATAATCACGCCGTAAGACTCAGCCTCACGGGGTCCCAGTTCATGGCAGATTGAAGTTTTTTGTGTTTTCAACCGCACTAGGACTGACGTTTTTGTCAGCCGGTTAGCGCGGTCGATGCTAACAATAAAGATACACCCACACACACGCGCGCGAAAAAGAGAACCGAATTCAGAACCACAACCAGGACAGAACCTAGTTACAGGCTGGGTGCATCTAAGATTTGCGGATATATGCAGGGTGCATAAAAATTTTTTCGCAGTGAATGACATTTTGGCTTCATGTCGATCGGCAACGGACCGATCGAAACCTTGTTGCTCTTGGGTACGCAAAACTATTGCCCATTGTGTCGCAACCCTGCGCACCGTTATTCTTGTGCTTCACACTTGTTTTGAATCTGACATGTGAAAATCCACGCTACTGTTGTTTTTAGGCATTTCCTCGGCCGGTGGTGTAAAAACGCTCCAAATCCCGCTCACTGCTGATGGGAGCTGCTGCCTAAGCCGCGCACAAATGTGTATGTTTCATGAACTCAGAAGCTTACCTGGAAAAAGTGTCAGTGGTACACACCGCCCATGACGTACGGCAAGGACCGATGACTCGAATACTAAAATCGAGAGAAACCCTAAATGTCCAGAGGAAAGGCGAAGTGAAATCAACGCCGAGCGTGACAGGGCGACCGGGCGGCTTTCTGTGTCTGGCCGGCAATGCACAGCACGTACGCTGAGCTGATGCTGAGCAGGACACTGCGACTGGTACTGAACGACTGGTCTGTTCGGTAGGGGCTCCGCGACATGATCTAACATACCATGTGCCGACGGAGTTATGTCTGCGGATCATCGGGCCTCTGGGGTCTTGCTGGTGATGGTGTGGTGACCCACATGAAAAGAGATAGGCGTAAGAGCTGTTCGCAATCCTTCTTTCCAGGTATTATTGGTCGCCCGCGAGTACCACCGCCGCCTTCTCACGGTCTCAATGTACCGTTAGGGCGCGCGCAGCAGGAGCGCTTGATATCTCGACAACGTAACACGACAAAGCGCGCGGTTAACCCTCACCAAGCCGGGATAATTTTTTTCGTAGTTTGTATTTGTTGCCCCGATCGAGAGGGGGAGGCGGCGAAGGAGGGAGGGGGTGCCTGGTGCCCACGTCCGCTGAAAGCCTGCTTCTCACCCGAGCTCGGAGAGGAACGAGAATCTACTGGGCATATATTTTGAGAGGTGCGAGTTGGAGAGAGCGAAGAACAAGAGGGTTCTGGCGTTCCACACAAAACCGATCTCAACGAAAAAAAGAGAGAGGACGCGCAGCGCGGCGGGAGGCCCCAGGCGAGACAGCCATCACATGACCACCATGCGGGTGCTTAGACGAAGGACAGCTGCTCTGGCGGTTGGGGTAACGCTCGTCACGACAGGTGCGTCCGACTCTCTTTGCCTCTTGTGCTGCAGCTGCCATTTTCTGAAAGAGAGGTTTTCAGACGTGTGTGTGGGTGTTCCAACTCTCGGCTGATTTAGTTTCTCAATAATTTATTGCGAACTGTTTGCTTTTCTGGCGAGGCCGTCTCTGTTGTGGGTGAGACATGATGATTAGCACGCTTTGGGGGGCTAGTGCACAGCATACAAGCAGCAGCGCATAGGAGAAGATCAATGCCAAGTTGTTTTTTCATCTCCTTCCTCCCACGATATTGCGCGGCGCTTTCTTTTCGTGTGGCTTTCAACGGGTCTTACAATTTCCGAGTCGCACGCACGATGAAAAGCTGCCTCCCCTTTTTGATGATTATCGTTCGTTGCAGTTGTGGTGCTCCGAAACAAGGAAACTTTCGGAGAGTTATGTTGCCCTGCTGTTGCGTGCGACATGGCACCGTGACGTACTTGCCTTTGGTGTGCTGCACACACAAGGGGAGAAGTGTGTGGGCATTGCGTGAAACACGCTTGACTGCTTCGTGAACCATGTATTACCAATTAAACGGTGTTCAAAATATTTTGCCGAAATTGATTCTAACGAACAAGTTGTCGTCGGCTGCCTTTTCCCCACACACTCGGGCGGGCGATTTGTTAACGATTGACATCGACTTTTTGCCTGTCCGTGAGATACAACACGAGTTGAATGGACACCTACACTTCTGAAAACGACAGCGTACAAGATAGGATGTTGTCTGGTGCTGCTGAATGTTGTTCGTATGGCATGGTTGCACGCCATGGATGCGCCCCGGGAACCTTGAGAGAGAATATCGATGTGTGGGCTGGGAAGATCAAGATGGTAATTGCCCTCAAAACCAACTTAGTTCAAAATGATTTGAGTTGAGGTTAAGACTCCGTTGGGGTTGACCTCAAGTTCCCATTGCGTTACTTACGCAAGTCACATGCGGCAGTGAGATGCGCACGTGTTGAAGTACCTGCATACAGAAAAGGCTGAATACCTGCGGAGGGCGAGCGAGTGATGGGTGTATCGGGAAGATGGAATTTTCCGCCAAAACTGCTTTTTAATAGTCTAGCCTCCCAGCTTGGTGTACCGACCATTACTGGGGATCAATGGTTTGTGCCAATAGGAGTGACACAGGTGCTGTGAGTTTGAAGCTATTTCATGTTGTTCTGGGTGCTCATAAAGATGACTGCTGTATTTCTTCGTGAGGATAAAGGAATGGAAAATACCGGCAATATCTCCTTCACCCAGAGGTGTGCACTCTCAGTCATATGTCATGTACAGGACAAAGTGGTACGTTGTGGCGCCCGCGCTTGCAGAACCTCGAAGCCACGAGAATTCAGGCTTAAAATGGGAAAAATAAGAACTTGGCCGTACGAGCAGGTGCTCAGGCCACAAACCTACTCTAACACCGACCACAGGTACTCGAAGTATTAAGAGAAAATATGTAGCCTTGGCGAACACGAGAGGTTCCTAAGCGCCGGCGGTGACGCTCTGTATTGACCTCGTTTAATCACGGTCGCGGACTTCTAAATAGACGGAGAGATGGGAACCCACCCCCAAGACCGATTCTCAAGGCTCGCTTACTCCACAAGCAAGATTGTGCCGGCGCCAAGAATGGTTGTCATCTCGTCCAGGGCTTTCCGGAAAATTTCGGAGTTATTTACGCGCCCCCTTAGTGGTGCACTTGGAGGTCTAGGGGGGATCATCTCTCCGCCTTTTACGGTAACTTGTCGACGGCCTTCGGCTCTTTAACTGTGAGCTCCGACCCGAGGTGACACAGGAAAGTTGAAAATTGGTCAACGGGATGTAACGCAGGTATCAATTACATTTCCCCGTGGTTTAAAAATTTGGTTCGTTGTTGGTTTCGTTGTCCTGACGTTGAAAACCGTTCCGGTCTCCTCTCAGGTCGTTCAAATATCCGTACTGGTGCAACCGACGCGGATTCCTTCCGTGGTCACGCTTGAACTTATAAAGAACAAAGCTCACTGCTGCTGGGTAGGCGCCAAATCGGTTTCGCCGAGCTGGTCGTGATCGTTGAGTTATCGTCACGATAAACGTCACTTGAGAGGCGTACGGTACAAACCGAAATTGTTAACAACTCTGAGATCGGTTGAATCTGGAATCCCTGATCAACGTGCGGCTGTTGCATGCAATCGACGGGAGACTGCCAGCGTTCATTTTGATCTTGTCGCATATCCAACCCCGTGCACTCGGCTCCTATTGCTGGTGCCAACGCCCCTATATTTATGTTTCTCCGCAATTCCGTGAATAGACAGCAAAGCAAAGCTGGACACGAGGGTGTCGCACAAGAGTCCCCGGGCACCTCTCGACCAAGGGTTCAAAATGTCAGAATTACGTGTGAATCCACATCTACGTGTAGCAACGTGTTGCCGTTTCGAGCACCTTTCGCGGCAAGGCCGGCCGGCCGGCCGTTTCAATCAGGCGATGTGTCCGTAGAAGCTTAAACGAGCAGGCTGCCGGTGTAGTTCGCCCAACCCTACACATGCTGTTTACAACCACCACATATTTTTTGTTTTGTTTTGTCTGTTGTCGCGCGCCCAACCCATCGCCTTGTCTACGTTCACCGCAAGTTTTTTAATGTTTGGCTGCATTCCAGCAAGGAGCCGTGTAAGCGCTGATTGAAGTGATGAAGAAGAAAATAAGAAAGAACGCCGGCCTGTCCGGTCGCGGTCGTCATGTATCCAGCGTTATTTCCACGCTTTTGCACGTTTACTTACTTGGCCTCCTCTTCGTGTTTCGGTGCTCCGCAGCAGCGGCGGCAGCGGCGGGAAGAACAGCCCCGGCGTCAACTAGGCACAGAAAACGCGAACGGCGCTCGGTCGAGAGCTTCCACCAGGGGGGAGCGAGGGGGGCGGCGGCGGTGCCGGCGGCTTCTTGGTTCCGCGGGGACGTGCAGGGGCCGGCGGCCGATTCGACGCACGCCGCGAGCGGAAGCGCCGCTGGGGGGGCACCGTCCGTCGGAGGGGTACGCGGGGATGGGGTTGCTGCTCGGGGTTTGCTCGAGGGAATGGACGAGGAGCCGGACCTGGCCGCGATCTACGTCCGGATGATCGGGATGCAGCCGGACCTGTCCCAACACTTGGATGGTGCATTTGTTGCCTCGCCTGCTGCTGCCGAGGGCGAAGAAACTACCGGCACGGGACTTGCCGCACACAAGAGGTCGTGGCGGTTCGAGGACGGGAAGAGCGACCAAGAGTTTGCGGAGAAGCTTATCGCGGGGCTCGACGGGCCCCAGCAGGAAGACCTCGCCTCGAAGCTCATCGCCGAGCTCGGGCAGGCGGGAGAGCAAGACCTCGCGGACACGCTGCTCGTGGGGCTGGAGGAAGCCAAAGATCGCGAAGAGCTCGCGACGGCCCTGGCGTGGGCTTTCGACACGGCCGGGCGGGGCGGGGGCGGGGGAGAGCTGGCCGAGAAGCTGCTGTCTGGCCTGGAGAGGGACGGGGAGGGGCAGGCGCAGGCTGCCACGCTGCTGGCGGGGCTCGACGCGACCGACAGGCACGAGCTCGCGGGCGCGCTGGTCGACGGACTCCGCCGCGCCGGACAGGACGACCGCGCCCAAGAGCTGTCGGCGGGCATGGATTCGGCGAGGGACGAGGAGGAGCTGGCGGTGGTGGTAGCCGCGGCGTTTGGCAGCGTGAGGAAGCAGGTCGCGGTGGCCGGGCGAGGTGGAGGAGCAGCGTTGCTGGATAACCTCCTCATCGCCTTCCTGAGGAAGATCGAGCGGCCGGCGCCTGTCGCGGGGCATGTCGCGGACGAGGGCGAAGGACAAGAAGCGTTGCTGTTGTTGCATGCTGCCGGCGACCGGCAGGGGTCTGCTCGGGAGCGGCCGGCCCCGGAAGGCAGATCGCCGCGGTTGGAACACATGTACGGCAGCACCAGCGACGGCGACGGCGTCACGGAGTACGTCTATGCCAACGGGGTGGTGGACTACGTCCGAGATGTCGTGGTCAACGGGGTCGCACACGAGGTGCTCGAGAAACGCAATTTTCCTCGCGGCGCCGGCGCCAGCAAGCAAGATGCCGCCGCCGCCTCCGAGAAGGAGTTCGAAGGAGAAGAAGCTTATTACTTTATTTTTGACGACGATTTGACCTCGAGATCTGATGACGATGATGCTAGCTCTTTCGGCACGAGGTCATCATCCTACTCGTCGGCCCCGTTGTCGTCGTCGACCGTGCTGCCGGCCAACAACAAGCGGTTCAGGGGTCCGTTATCGTCATCCGGGTACGCCGACACAAGCGGCCTGTACCGTGGCGGCGGCGGAAGCGGCAGCGGCAGCGGAGGGGCTTTCTCCACCTCCACCACGCTCCTCGAGCGGGAGGAGGAGGGCATCGAAGAGCCCGCCGCGGAGACACCTGGGGGGGGTTCTCCGCTGCTGCCGCCACCCCCCGCGCGTGATACTGCGGAGCGCCGCCGTAGCGCTCACGGTGCGGTCGACTCGTCGACGTCGCCGTCTCGATCGTTCGGCGGGATGCTCGGAAATCTGTTCCGCGGAACTTTTGCCGGGCTGTTGCAATCCCGAGAGGAAGGATCCGGAGAACGCTCCTCCCCCGTATTCGAGGGGGAGGACGACGAGGAGGAGGAGGAAGGTGAAGACGCGCGGTTGTTTGGCGCGGCGGAATGGAGTGGGCGCAGCGCGCAGGCGCGCCGCCGCCGTCTGTACACTTCAAGTAGTGCGGCGACTACTGCTAGCAGCTCGGATGATGACAACAACAACTCCGGTGGAAACTACCAAGTCGAAATTGTGAGTGTTTCCGTTGAATTGTTGCTGTTGGGTCGTTCTGACCCCGATCAAGTCTCTTGAAGAAAGCAGAGAATAGTATGTGGTTCCGTGGTCGAAAGCGGAGGAGGTCTTGGTCGCTTTCGATGAACGACAGCGGCAGCGTCACGAATAGTCGTCTCAATAGATCGTTCTTCTGTAAGTGCTGATCTCCTTTCTTGCCTCTTTCCGTGGACAAGTGGCCATGCTTAGGTTGTGGCGCCAGATTGGCTCGGGTCGTAGGTGTTGGCTTTGGCCACCGCGGGACTTGTGCGCTGAGCTACAATTTGTTGTCGCGTTTCGAACATGAAGTTATTTGGCTTAACCCGCCGATGATGTGGTTTGCCTCAGCCCAACCTTTTGTGCTGTAGTTGATGGAGTTGGCTGGCACCTCCCGCTGTCTCCTTAGGCCTAATGCAAATGCACCAGCGACAGAATCGACCCGGGCGTGTCGGCCGCTTCGGGTCTGTGAGCGCTGTGAGTGGCGGGCTTAGGTCGTGCCCAGAGGGGGAGAGAGAAGCACGGTAGTAAGGTGTTGATGCTGGTGTTGTTTTGGGTACGTAATGTTGGCAGTGCTTGTGTGGCGATCGATGGATAACCGGTGTGGTGCGGACGTTTTTTCGATCGCATCGATCGCACCCGGCTTGCCCACGATAGGTTGCCAGCACCGGAGACACGAGCACAAACTGGAACGGCGCGTCCTACAGGCTGGAAGTGGGGACGGTGGTACCCGGGCAGTCGCTGCCATCTTCGAGCCTCCTCGCTTTTGGCACCATCAACGAGGTGGGAGGTCGGCATGTCGTGTGTATATACGTGTTCGAGTCAAGACGCGCTGGATTCGGTGGACACGCCCCCCCGCGTCCCCCCGCTCGTGTTTAGTTGACATCAGTAGTAGAAGCACACATGCTGGTCGCCTTGCTTTGTTTCGCTTGGATACATGTCGCAGCGGCTGAAACGTTTACTCACAAGACCTGTTGCGCATGTGTGCTGCTGTGCATCGACCGTGTGGCCGATGAGCCAACGCCAGTCTCGCGCCGGATTGTAGCCTCCAAGCCTCTCGTCCCGGCGCTGCTGTGTTTTAAGAAAATCTCCATGAAAAACAGAAGAGACTACCCGTTCGGCGAGATATATCCACAGTCCAAAGGGATGTGCTGGAGTCTTCTGCAGCAGTGAGTCGGAGGAAATCTGACCGGGTACTGAACGTGTTTTTAGTCTAGTTAAGCTTTTTCACCGAAAAATGCCTGTCCTCTCCCCTTCGTTCCGATTCCAACCGTTGTTCGCGCTCTTTGTTGGCCATCTCGCTCGATTGACACGCTTCTCCTCATTTCCACAGGGCGACATATCGCCATGGACCCAGACGTTAAACCTGGAGAGGGGCTGCTACGTCCTGTACACCACGGCGGGCACCCGGCCCTACGACGTGGTCTGGCAGGTGAAGATACCAATCCCCCCCCCCCTTCCCCTCTCGAAGCCGGGAAGTGATATCGATAGGATAGGGAAGACATTCGTGAGAGCCATAACGTCGGAAGGAAAGATTGGCCATCGGTGATCGGTCGTGTGGGAACGGTGCTCCGTCCCCTCGAGGACGCGTGGCCAATGGTCTAACAACTACGGCATGCAAACATGAGTACGTCCCCCCCCCCCCCCCCCCCCCCCCCCCCCCCCCCCCCCCCNCCCCCGAATCACCGCTGCTGTCCCCCTCGCATGATGGCACGTGTTGCGCGCTTTCTTGAAACTCCCGTCCGGGTCCATTTTTTGCGGGTCCGGTGGCTCTTATCTTGGTTGAACAAATTCATTGTCTTCCTTTTTTCGTTTGATGAGTATCATAGCTCTTGTGGCCGCTCCCTCACGTCGAGCCCTGCTCTGTCTGGTCTTGTGTGTGCTACACTGCTATTGGATGTTGTAACCTTTCGCCTACAAACTTGTTTCTCCTGACGTTTACGTCAGCGCCCCACAGTTTAACGTGCTCATCGATGCAAAATGTCAACTTGAGCCTTTCGGTCGCTTGGTCCTAAGTCCTTGCTGAGCATGTTCTCTGCGCCTACTTTGTAGAGCCAAGCTGTACAGATCATATATCCGCCGAGCGGCGTATCGATGAATCGAGGTGATACAAGCAAACACCCCGCGCTACGAGCCAATCGAAATTGGCACCGAAGTATACTCGGGCGCCGGTTTCGATAGCATGTTTTGTTGCTTGCATCACCTTACACCCAGTTGCGGGTGGGGTTCTTTTTCGTTTTTGTAGCAGCAGCAGCAGCAGCAGCAAGAGCTGCGAAGACCCTTGAAGGCCACACAGCAGTTGAAGACGCAGATACACCCGGTTCTGTTTCAGATCACTTGGCACGAATGTAGACAGCGACGGTGGTGCGGAAAAACTGCATCGTCAGGTGACTTGTTGATCGATGTTGTACACGTTCGCCGTGTGGCAAGCGGGGATGGGCGAGAAGTGTCACAGTCCCCGCACGAAATAGACACCGACGTTGGAGCCTGGGCAAGCTAACGTCACCTGCTCCTTGTCAAGAACATTACAGGAACCTGATCGGAGCACACAACCGGTGTTTGGTTTTGCAGGTGGAGGTGGGAGGCAAGGTGTACCAGAATGCGGCGGGAGGAGGCAAGGACTACCACAGCTTCGGTCTTGGTGGGGCCCTCTGCGGCATGAGCGATTGCTATCGGGTGAGTCTAGTGTAATAACGTCGTTGTAACAATGCCGTCTCTCGATATTCAACGGTGACCACCGAATGCAGTAGTAGTTCACTTCTTTTTTTTTTGTTGCGGGAGGTTGAAGTGTCAAATCAAAACCAGCTCTCGTGCCCGGTAACTTGTTCCCGACGTCTTGAAGGAGACGGGCTTCCACGATGTCGGAGAGTTTGCGTGTTTTGGTTTAGCGTTTACCACTCGCTGCAAACTATGCGAGCGATTCGATGAATTGCCTACTTAGGAACTACACAGGCACACAACGACTAGCCGTTTGACCAAATTCTCCCCCTGTCACTCCCTCTGTCCCTCTCCATCTCTCGCGCGCTCTCTCTCTCTTTCTGGTCACAAAAAATTTCAAAAGCTTTGCTACGAAGAGCACGACGACCGCGACGCGGACGAGTGCAAAAGCTTCGGGGACCTCCTGGCACCCTCGGACGAGCCCGCCGGAGCCAACTGCACATGTACTCAGGATGAAGAGGTACAATAGTACCCCTTATCGATGCTTGTTCCCCGTGTATATTGTGAACGTGCATACTGCGCCTGTAGGCAGAGTGAAGAGGTAGGTCATGTCCTCGTGAGCACCCACGGTTTGATGGTTGTGTTGCCTCAAGTATTGAAGATTCCAATTGGATAGTGACGTGGATCTGCGGATGAAGAGGTACCGCAGTACGTCGTGTGTGCAGAGAACACATCCAATTATGTTAAACCTCTCGTTCACGTGCATGCATTTGATCACACACCATGTGTGTAATTTATCTTCACGTGCAGACAGGAGAAGGAAGTCACGCACACCACCTGTTGGAGTTCATGCTTTGAAACCCCCCGTGTTAACGCGCTCTTGCCGTGTAGGCGACCAGCTGGACACGAGGCGCCGTCGCCCTTGTTTCAAATCCGCACTCTGTGTCATGTAGAGTCCGTGAAGCAGAAGAAGTAGCGCTGCGCTTACCTTGCGTACATACATAGGTGTCCCCAATACCTCTTGAGTCGAAACCTGGCAGGCGACCTGCCTTTTCTTAAGCCCAGGTCCTCCAAAAACTTCTTGCCAGCATCCGTGACCGGTTACCCGCGTTCCCATTTCTCTGTTGATCGATCTCTCTAGCCTTGGGAGGCATGAGCGAGGTCCCATTCATCGTCACTCCTACCGCCTTCTAGCACCAACCCTACCAGCCTCCCGTCCAGGTCGATCTCCGTTGCCTTGGTATGGATGAGCGAAGTCAGTGTCACTGCAACCCTAACACAACCAATCTTAACGCGCTCCCATCCAGATAGATCTCCGAATAGAGTGCCTGGAGGGGGACGAGCGCGAGTCGAGGTCCCAGTGTCACTAACCCCAGCAACACCGACCGTAGCGCGTACTCGTTCCCTCTGTGGATCGATCTCCGAGTACCGCAGTGCTTTGGGAGGCATGAGGGAGGTCCCCGTGTCGCGAAATGACCCTAACAGCACCAACTGTAACGCCCTCCCGTCCAGATCGATCTCCGAATAGAGTGCCTCGGGCGGGACGATTGCGAGTCTCGGTCCCAGTGCTACCTTCTGGGCGATGCCGCCGCGGAGATCACGACGGCGCCCACCCTGCGGATAGTCATGTACGTTACGATCGTCACCACTAACGTCTACGTCGATGGCATGGAGACGGCCGTCGCCCAGTGGCTCGACCTGGACCCCGCCTATGTGAGTCCGTCTTTTTTCTTCTTGTCGATTTCTCTGTCGTATTTTATCTCCCGTTTTCTTTTCATAATCGATGTGAATCTGTCTTGTTCTTTCATACGCATCGATGTTTTGTATGCTTTTTTGTCGTGTCGATGTAGCGTTCGTGTTTTGACGGAAGAAATAGCTTCGATGGTGGGGGGGGGGTCACGTAAAAGAATATTCCTTTTGCGTTGGCCCTTGATCGTTACAGTCGACCCCGCTTTAAAGACACACCACGTTTCCCCCCCAAAAAAAGTGTCCTCAACGCGGGGAAGTGTCTTAAAAAATTCCGGGGCCACTAACGCACCATCCCCGGGGCCAATGAAGGCGAAACATATGTCAAAAGGTGCGCATTCGCAGCAGAAAGGCGACCACAAGAAGTGTTGTTTGAAACCTACGACACAAGGTGAGTTGAAGGTCGCAACCACTGCTGCTATTGTGCTGCAATACATACTTGCATACCATCGTTTGAATTTACCCGTACTGTGCCACCAAAACGCTTAAAGCGATGGTGTTCTACGACCTACGCATCGTACATGTACACGACGGTAGTGCGCTAGTGTTGATATGGGCTTAATTATTTGCTTTAGTTTATTTTTTAGGCGTTGTCCTCCCCGTGAATATCTTGCCCAAGATCTCGCTACCGCACCTGAGAAATATCGAAGGTTGTAAAACGACACTAGGAAACTGCAGGTTACGCAGAAACACAGAGACCAAAAATGTGGGGAAAGCACAGCGACAAAGAGGACACCGCGCCTCCCAAAGATCAAAACGAGGCACAACACAACACAAACGCCAAATTCAACGTCACGAGACTTCACCCAAGGCAAACAACGAACGTTGGCAATAAAAGTGCTTTGCTCTCGAAACCAAAAACTGCACCCGACCACAAAACCCGTGCATGGGTCGCCCGCACGGACACTGATGAACCAGTGACACCAGTGCAGATTTGAACTGGCACGTCGGTTCGCCGCATGGCTTCAAGCCGGCAGCAGACGAACCGCTAGCAGATGGAATGAATCTTTCCATACACCCGCACGCAGTGTGCGGCTGCAGCAGACCGCTGTTGATGATCCAGGATCTACAGGGGCTGCAGCACATTTTCTGGGGGGGGGTCGAATGGTGGAAAACCCTACCCCCCCCCAACTTTTTCACATCTGCGGGGCACCATGTTTCTGAGAAATTTTTGTGTCCTTATAGCGGGGAGTGTCTTTGAAATGGTGTCTTTAAAGCGGGGACCACTGTAGTCTGTTGTCGCACGCAGTCTACCGCGTGAGGTACGTGCGTGTGAGAGACCACAGGCTGCTCTCGGGGTACTGCTTACAGCGATGATGTGGGGGTCTGCGAAGATGTACCGATTCTGGTAAGAGTCAATCGACGGATACGCTGTGAATCGGTTCCTCCTCAGGTCCCCGAATATGGCGGTCGCCTTATGCAAGGCGGGTGAAATTGGCTGGCACAGAGGGAAAAATGAAGTTGTTCTACACATTGATAAGGCGGCTGCTCCACATATGACGGTCATTATCAGCTGCCCCACCACCGCCGCCGCCCCCCCCCCCCCCCCCCCCCCCCCCCCCCCCCCCCCCCCCCCCCCCCCCCCCCCCCCCCCC